CCTGCCCTGCTGCCCACGCTGGGGGATCAGCCCAGGGCACGTCCTGGATTGCAGCTCCACCGAGGGGGGAGTTTCAGGTAGATGCTACACAGGCCCAGTCATTTCATGTTGTACTAAAATTTTATGAGCTGGAATTTTGAACCAGAGCCTTGGGTGTACTTTAGAATTCAATTATAATCTGAAAAGTGCCTCTAAAGTAGCTCTGGGCAGTTTGCTGATTATTGCATTTGAGTCACTTCAGGTGAAATTCGGGCACATCGCAGGGCAGTGTCTGAAATCCAGCCCTCTGCGCATCGTGCAGGGCTCAGAGTCAGCTCCTGCCTCCAGAGTCTGTGTGGGGCTGTAACTCAGGCTGGAAATCAGCCACACAATCTGAGACACCTGGCAGTGTTTGCAGGTCCTGTTCAGAGCACAGCCCCAATTTCCAGGCAGCAGGAAACACAAGGAGGTTACTGATGTTGGGCTGTGTCTGCCCAAAGCATCAACACGAGGTGGTGCTTTCAGCCCTGCCAGGGATGCTCTTCCTGTCGCTGCATTTTTAGATACTCATGATTAGTCTTGTAAGTAAAAACCATTCTGACCATGTTGCTTGATGGAGAGCAAACAAACGAGCAGCATCCTAAAATTCCTCGGTGAAAACAGAAGGGATCGGAAACACTGGAGCTCTGAAGCTGTTTTGCTGATGATTTCAGACAGAAAAGAGCAGTGCAAGCAGAGCAGTGATGTCTGTGCCTCCCCCCAGTCACACCCTGGAGCTAGAGCAGAGCTACATGTAGGAGAGAGAGCAGGAGCTGCTCCTACCTCGAGCATCACTCCTGGAGCAACTCCCAGCCTCTCACTCCCAAACGCAGGGAGGACATGGAAAAACCCAGCGGGATCTTCCAGAGGGAGCTTTTGGTTAGGAGAGGAGTAAGTTCACCCTGAACAGGAGAAAAGGTGTAAAACTGGAGGGCAAAGACAACACAGGGTCTTTTTGCTCCCCTAAGGTTATAATGATGCTTCCATATTCCTGCCCTGTGTTTCCAGGTGTATAAACTTCCCAGCTGGTGCCCAGCCACGAGCAGGAGGTGCTGACAGGAGCACCCGTTGTCTCTGTTCTGGCTTCCACCCATCCTGCTGGGAATACTCTGATGTCTTTGGGGTCTCTGATCCTTGTCAGCAACAAGCTCCTTTAAACCACCTCATTGTCCTTCCGTGGGCTTGGAATTCTTTGGGCTTTGAGGCTCATCTGAATGCCTGAGGTGCATCAGAATCATGGAATGCCTTAGGATGGAAAAGCCCTCTGAGATCACTGAGTCCAACTGTTCCTCCAGCACTGCCAAGGCCACCACTGACCCATGTCCCCAAGTGCCACATCCACAGGGCTTTTAAATCCCTGCAGGGGTGGGGACTCCATCTCTGCCCTGGGCAGCTGTGCCAGGGCTGGACAGCCCTTCCAGTGAAGGGATTTTCCCAATATCCAACCTCAACCTCCCCTGGTGCAACTTGAGGCCATTTCCTCTTGTCCCGGGGCCTTTCCCACTGACACAGTTGCAGAGGAATACTCCTCTAAATGTGAATTTTCCCACCTGGACACAGCATCTTTGTGGAAGCAAAAATACAAACCCAGCAGAATTAGACCCTGATACAGGTTATGAAATTGGAGAGAGCTGGGGGTGAGAGCTGTTCCCCACATGCAGCTGGGAAGCCAGCATGGAAACAGCAACACCCTGGGGCCGGTCACAGGAATTCTCCATTCCCAGGGCAAGGGAGTTTCCCCTTGGACACATCCCCTTCCCTGCTGCCGCTCCCCCTGGGCAGTGCCAGTGGCACCACCGGGATCTGAGCCCGCTGTCCATGCTGGGCGTGTGCAGGGTCCCCCCAGCCCCTTCCCCTGCAGGAGGCAAATGCACAGGAACGTGCCCTGGAGTTTGTCCCGTGGTTGTTTTTGCAGAAGAAGCTGGAGCTGTCGGCGGGCACTGCTGGGCTGGCCCCGGCCGTGCAGCGGGTGCGGGAAGGCACGGACAGCCTGGCACAGTTCCTGCAGAAAGCGGGATCAGAGCCCACCGTGACCATGGAGCTGGCGGCCAGAGACTTCTCCTACAGCCTGGCACGGATCTACACAGGTAGGGAAAGGCAGGAATCACGGAATCGTGGGAAGGTTTGGATTGGAAGGGATCTTAAAGCTCATCTCGTTCCACCTCCCACCAGCCCAGGTTGCTCCAAGCCCCGTCCAACCTGGCCTTGGACACTTCCAGGGATCCAGGGGCAGCCACAGCTTCTCTGGGCAACCTGTGCCAGGGCCTGCCCACCCTCACAGGGAACATGTCCTGTCCCTCCATGGCTTGTCCCCAGTCCCTCTCCAGCTCTCCTGGAGCCCCTTTAGGCCCTGCAAGGGGCTCTCAGGTCTCCCTGGAGCCTTCTCTTCTCCAGGGGAACCCCCCCAGCTGTCCCAGCCTGGCTCCAGAGCAGAGGGGCTCCAGCCCTGGCAGCATCTCCGTGGCCTCCTCTGGACTCTCTCCAGCAGCTCCACATCTTTCTTGTGCTGATGGATTTCAGACCAGGAAAGGGCTGGGAGTCAGTCCTGGACACCTGGGGCACACCTGGGCCAAGGGTGGAGCTTTAAAGCTCAGTCTTCACCTTCCCCACTGAAGCAGCTCAGCCTCCACCAGTTACTTTTCTTGAGTCCTGGGCAGTTCTGGCAGGATCCTGGGAATGCTGACCTGTCCTGCTCTTCCACAGGAGCTCTTTTGTTGGAACACGCAGCCCGGCCTGGTGCCTCCTCCACAGACACCTGCGCTGCCCTCAGGTAGGCACAGCCCTGAGTGCCCAGGGTGATGCCATGAGCGGTGTGGGAGGCTTTGCTCTGCCCCCCAGAGTGACCCCACCCCAGCCATGGCCAGACACAATTCCCAGCTGGAGACAAGCGGCACTCCGGGCTGGGCCCTCTCCTGCCGTGGGATTACCCATTCCTGCAGTGATGGGATCCGACCTGGGCACAGCTCAGGGTGACACCAGCCCTGTGTGAGCCCTGTGTGTGTCCCAGGGCTGGCACAGACCGTTCCCTCTTTCCATGCAGGTGGTGCAACCAGGAGCTGTGTCCGGTGGCCGCAGAGTCGGGGTCTGGCAACTACAGGGCCGGGGCAGCACTGCAGGACAGTGCCCTGGTATATGGGGACAGTGCCCTGGTATATGGGGACAGTGCCCTGGGACACAGGGACCGCACCCTGGGGCACGGGCACAGCCGTCTCTGAGGCCCCACGGCCCCACCACACACACAAGGGGGGCTGAAATCCAAAATATCCCTCCCAAAATCCTCAGGTAGCTGCAAATTCCAGGTGTGGTGGGGACGTTCCACCAAGGGCCAAACCAAATCCTTCAGGAGTGCCCCCCGCCTGCCCAGGCTGAAATCCCAACTTTGGGCTGTTTCCTGATGCAGACACAGCCCTGGGGGTCACTCCAAGATGCTGGAATGTTCTCACCATGATTTAGGCAAAGCCCAAGCGATCAAATCCAGACAATGACTGGAAGCAGCAGCTCTTCAAGTGCCAGTGCTGTTCTTTGTGAAGAAAACCAACCAAAACCAGACTGAAAACTCTCTGAAGCTTATTAAATACAGAAAAACCACCGATTTTCGCTGTTCACCTTCTTGCTGTCCAGGGCTAACCATGGGCTTCCACCCTGGCACCTGCCCAGGGTGGGCTTTGCTTCCAGGACAGCCCCTGGCACCAACCGTGACTCCAAGGGTCAGACAGCCCTTCCTCCCTTGACCTCCTCAGGAACTGCTCCTTCCTGAAGAAAAGAGAGATTTTTATTCTCTGTGGCCTCCAGAAAGCTGATTAATTCCCCATGCACACGTCCCAGTGATGCTGCAATCCATCCTGACATAAATTCTACATAAATCTTGGATTGAAATCCAGTCATTCTCCACCTAAATGCTGCCTGGGTGCTTCTCCTCCCTCAGCCTGCCAGTTGACCTGCTTGGGATTGCCCTGATGACTTCAAGGTTTTAATTAAAAAGTTGCTAATAACAGAAGAAAAGCACCACTAGGCCAAAGACAGCTGGAATTTATAGCTGGGAAGTGCTGCAGCAGCCAGGAGGCTGAGTGGGATGAGGGGGAAGGAGCTGTTTGCTGAGCATGGAGCTGTCCAGCACTTCCCTGAGGCCAGACCGGCAGATCCAGGAGGACACAAGGGACAAACGCCGCCTGCAGGGAGGAGCAGGGGAGCGGCTCCAGTGGGATGCAGCGAGGGAAGCTCCATGGGCTCTCTGTGTCCTGGCACGGGGATCCCAGGCCGAGCCAGGCAGAGATTCCCTGGAATCACACAAATCCCATTAACCACCCCCAGCACCAAAGGGTTCCCTTTGTATGTGCAGTGAGGGGAATGAAGAGTATTTGGGTTTGAAAAGCCATTATAGAACCATGGAAGGGTTTGGGTGAGAAGGGACCTCAAAGCTCCTCCCATCCCACCCCTGCCATGGGCAGGGACACCTTCCACCAGCCCAGGGTGCTCCAAGCCCCGTCCAACCTGGCCTGGGACACTCCCAGGGATCCAGGGGCAGCCACAGCTTCTCTGGGCAACCTGTGCCAGGGCCTGCCCACCCTCACAGCCAACAAGTCCTTCCCAATATCCCACCTATCCCCTCCCCCCTGAGGGAAGCCATTCCCCGTGTCCTGGGACTCTGTCCCCGCAGTTTGGTGTCAAAGCTCTCCCTGGAGCTGCTGTGAAACTCAGGAGAATGGGACGGTGAGGAAACAACATGTGGCTCTAATTCCATCACCAGACGTGCCCGTGGTTGGGGCAGAGGGTGCAACAGCAGGGAAAGTCATGTTGGAAGTGTTTGCAGAGCTGATCAATCCCCAGGATCCTCCGCTCTCCAAAGTGCTCATCTCCAAAGCCCGGAGCTTCGGCAATCACTGCCCGTCCAGGCTTTCCATCTTCCCAATCTATTTTACGTTTCTCAACACCAGGATTACTTTTTCCTCATATGTGAGCTATGATTTGCCTAAAAATAAGCCCCACAAACTGGGAGCTCTGCAGATGTCCCAACACAGGGGACACGGGACTGTAAAATCATCACTGTGAAGAAAATGAGAAATTTATTAAGATCTAAATATTCACTCTGAGGCAGAAGAAACACTGTTACACACAGGTGAGCACGAGGGTCTGACACGTCCCACGGCTGCTGAACAGCTCTGCCCTCGGAACTTTGCAGGATTTCAAACATTTCATGTGCTTCAAGTAGTTAATCGAGAGTTCAGATGTCATTTTAGCACAAATCCCACCAAAAAAAAGAAAAAGGTACAATCAAACATGTCACCACTGCAAGGTGTAAAAATCATTTTGTGACAGGACTGCAGGAAATCAGTTTTAAACCCAGATTTGTTAAATGATAAGGTCAAACTTCAGTAGCATTTAAAAAATGTCCAAGTCCAAAGAATATGGTGACCTGAAATCCCAAAATGCAACAATCTCTGACACCTGCACTGACCGAGACATCAAACTGTCCCCAAGGGCACTGAGCTGTCCCTGAGGGCAGAGCTGTCCCCGAGGGCACTGAGCTGTCCCCAAGGGCACTGAGCTGTCCCCGAGGGCACTGAGCTCCATCAGGAATCGTCGTTCTGTCCTTTCTCACCCCTCAAAGAAAGAGCCATAATCGTTGCTTTGGCTTTTTAACCGAAAAACGTGATTCTGAGGAGCTGAGGAGCCAGTTCTGAGCGATGCCAGCGACGGGCAGCTCTAAGGACAATGTGACACCAGGTCCAACCCTGTACCTGGCAGAGCTGCCCTTCACTCAGCGCTGCCCGAGCCCCCTCCCCCAGCACAGCCCAGCAAAGCGGCGCCTTCCGACTCCAAACCTCGTCCTGGGTAATTCCAGGTCCATTCGAGGGGCAGTTACAGACTGACCATAATAACACACCCACCTGAACAACGGCCCCTGAACCTGCTCAGCCTCCTGCACGTGGCCCCCCAACACCTCAGAACCTGTCCCAGGGTGGGCCCCGTCCCACCCCAACAGCCCTCCCAGCGCAGCAGAGCCGTTCCCAGGACCTCCTTCCCCCTTCCCCCACAAAGGGCAGCAGGTTTTCCACGCTACAGCTGCCCCCACCGCACTCACCTGCACCTCTTGAATGACCCTGGTGTCACCTCCCCTGTCAGGCAGGGGTGGCCCCGTCGCTGCCCCCCTGGGATGGAGCCCTTCAGCTCCCAAAGATTTCCGTTCTACAGCAGCTGTTTGTGACTCCCCAAATCCCCTCTGCCCGAGCAGGTCTTTCCACAGCCCCTCAGCTCCTGTTGTGACCTGAGCAGCTCCCGAGAGCTGGGACTGAGGAAAGAGGGAAGGAAGATCCGAGCACCAGGGAATGGGCATGGACACCCTGCCAGCCGTGCCCTCCTCTGGCAGCGCTGCCGGGGCGCTGCTGCCCCTGCCAGGGGGTTCTGCACCGTGGGAGTTCAAACCTTCTCCGAGAGCAGAGCAGAGCCAGCCCAAGGAGGGAGCAGCCCGGCAGTGCCGGGGGCACCGCTGTGCTCTCAACGCCTGCAGCGCACCGAGCTCCTGCCAAAGCACTCACGGGTAACTCGTGTGAAAGGAGCCCTGGGAAACCAAACTGGGAGGTGTAACTGGGACCCTGCTGTGTGTCCTTAACCGTGCCAAACGGGATCTCTGCGCTTCTTTCTCGCTCCTGAAGCTGCAGATCCCACCGTGCCAGCACAGCTCTGCCCCGCCCTGCTTTGGTTGGATTGAATGATCACCAGCAGATCACGAACAACTGAGCACGAGGTGCTGTGATGGGACAGCTCTGGCCCAGCATCACTCGCAGCTGCTCCAGGGGCTGCTCGGATCCCTGAGAATTCAGGGCAAATCCTCTAAGAGAAGAAACGGCCCTTGGTGGGTGAGCTGAAGGACGGGAACGCAGCTGGAACGAGCAGCAGTCACAGGAAACTGGGAATAATTGGGCTTTAGTGCAGGACAAACAGCAGTTGAGTTTTCCACCTTCTGGATTAAAACATCTTTAACCTGAGTGAGTTTGGTTTGTTCCCGAAGAGCTGCAGCTCCACCGTCCAGCACCGGGGCAAGGCAGGAAGTGTAAAAGTGAGAACTCCACCTCCCCTGCCACGGGAAGGGAGACACGGAGCTTCCTCTGCCAAACCTGAGAGCAGGGGAGCTCCCTGCAGACCTGGGCTGCTCCTACAGTCGGGAAACATCAGCAGAGTGAAATGTGATGGTGGGCCAAGGGGACAAAAGAAAAACGTGGGTGGAGGGAGCTGAGACTCCAACACCAACAACCCCCAGCAGTTCTCCATCCTCGGAATACCCCGCTGACTGTACCAACAGAACCGGGGGGGGGAGGGGGGGGTGGATCGTGTCTTTTCCCCTCCCTGGGAACGGGAAAACCAAGCTTAGGAATTTATTTTTTCTCCTGAGTTGAGGAGCAACGGTTTGTCGTTCCTTGCAAAGACACAGCCTGGAACACAAAGCCAGAGGCAGCGGCTGCTGCTCCTTTTCCAAGGCCTCGGTGCTCCCACTGAACCTCCACCACGTCCCCTCCGAGGGACAGGGAAGTAAAATAAAAAAAATTAGAAAGTGTGTTAGCAAATGCTCCCATGCAAAAGTCTAAACTTTATTCACTTTTATTTATATATTTAACAATTCTAAAGTATTTACTTCTCGCTTTTGACAAAAATGAAAAATATAGGAGCACTTTACTCTCTTGTGGAGAGAAGGGTTATTTCTGTACACAGCTACGGAGAGAGAGACTATTCCTCCTTTACATACAAAGAAAAAATAATATTAATAAAAAAAGTGCTTCATCGATCCAAAAAAGCCTAAAGAGCCGCAAGCGTTTATTCACACTGTACATCCCAGCCCTCCCGGCACCAGGAGCTGCAGAGGCTCCGGCTCATCCTGCACCGCGCCGGCCCTGCCCCCTCTCCATTCCCGGCAGGAGCCCGACATTCCCCTCCTCCCGCTCCCACGCCAGAGCCTCTGTTCCAGCACCCGCTCAGCCTCGCCTTTCCCTCTTTGTAGCTTTTTCTAAACCCGTGCCAGGGAGATCCCAAGATGCTCCGTCCGTTCCCAGAGCCCCTTCCCAAAAGGACGCAGCCTCCTCCTTCCTGGACATTCATTCCTGCCGGATCCTCGTGGGGGTGGGGAGGGCACAGTCCAACCACCCGGGCCCTTCCCCTCAGACCCTCCTTTGGATGATGTGATTGTGACATTCCAGGGAAGGGAAAAGCTCCTTTCCCCAGGTTTCTTGGATTTCGAGCTGCTGTAACTCGAGCTCTCAAATACTCCAGCAGGATTGTTGGGAATATCACAGAGCAGTTGGGACTTTGCCTAAGGAATACACTGTGAGCAGGATCTACACTTCCTCTGCCAGATTGCACTAAGCAGGATTTATGGGATCTATGGGAAGGGGATGAGCACCTACTGCTGAGTTACAAACAGATATCGGGAGATTCACGCTTCAGTGAGGTGACTGGGATTGGGGCAGAAGGAAGAAGGGGAATCCATGATGCATTTTGGATTGTTGTAAGATCCTCAGGCAGGTTTTTCCTATCTGGGGTACACTGAACACAGCCTGGGAAAGGAGGAACATCCCAGGAGGATGCCAAGCACCAGTGCACTCCCCACGGACCGAACCCGGAGACTCCAGCGGGTCCCGGTGCCTTCCATCTGTCTGGAGTCTCAGTAAAGTGCGAGTGTGACCCACCAGGGCCTGGGCCTGACCTTGGCAAAGCTCTGCTCCCACAGGGAACCTCCCACGGAGGGGGCAGGGACAAGGCAAAGATCTGCTCCTGTCCCACTCGGATCTGAATGGTGGACTGCATGGACAGACCCTTGGAGAGGCCTGGTGTGACACCGTCTCAGCCCCCACCAACATTCCTGAGCCAACAGGTCAGGTGTTCCCGCTCCAACGGCCCAAACCTCAGGGACTGTGTGTGCAGGGGAGCCCAGTGAGCCCCTGGGGCAGCCCCTGGGAGAACAGAGAGGGAGAGGGCTCTCTTGGGAAGCACATTCCCACCTCTTGTAGCAGCAACAGGTTCCCAAACAGCAGTTTCGGGTTTGGAATAAGAGGACTGACTGAAAGCCCTGGAGGCTCCAGCTCTGGAGGCTCTGCAGTTGGCTGGCCCGGTTCCCTCTGCTCCCAAACCCCCTCCGAGCGGGACACAAACCCCCCCGGGGATCCTGGCTCTGGCCCAGCCCCTTCCCACCTCCACAGCCTCCCGCAAACAAACAAACATATATATATTATTATATATACACACACACACGGACACACGGACAGGACAGGCAGGGAAAGGGGAAGAGCTGGAAAAGGAGACTCCCACAATCCAGCGGCGCATCCTCGACGTCTGTCCCGCCCAGCCACGTCCCAGCCCGGCCTCCACAGCGCAGCCTCCCAGCCTCGGCCCTCGGGCCCCGCCTGTCCGGGGGAAGGGCCGGCTCGGCTGCTCCCCCGCCGCTCCCGGGCCGGGAATTCAGTTGGACGTGGCAGTGATGGGCTTGTCCAGTTCGAGGTCCAGGCTGGAGCTGCCAGGGTGGAGGCTGCTGTAGCAGGACTTGCAGACCCTGCTGGGCTCGAAGAGCTGCTGGCTGGGAACGGGCACCTTCTGGTTACAGCAACTGGAGCAGAACACATTCCCGCAATTCCTTGTGTCGGGAACAGAGCAGAAACGGAAAAGGGCAGGTTAGAGTTAGCTTGATAAAAGTTGTAAAATGAGATATTCCCAGTGCTGTGATGGGGTTGGCCCTGGAGGCGTTGGAGAGACTCTGGGCCGGGACACGGGCAGGGACAGCTCCAACACCTTAACTGATCCCTTCTGCAGTCGGAGCAGACACCCAGGAATGGACACAGGCAGGAGCTCGGAGGTGGGGACACTGTGGGACTGCAGCTCATTAAACTCCTCTGCAGTGATGGGTCAGCTCTCTGCCATGTCATCATGGAATGGTTTGGGTGGGAAGGACCTCAAGCCCACGGGCAGAGACACCTTCCACTATCCCAGGTTGCTCCAGGCCCTGTCCAACCTGGCCTGGAACAGTCCCAGGCTGGATGTGCTGCAGAGGAGCTCAGGGATGGTGCCACCAGCACCCTGGAGCACAGGGCTGAGAGGGGCTGAGCTGGAGCCAGCACAGGCCCTTCCTGCAGGAGCCGTGGGGACTGTGGGGCAGTGGCCCCGGGTCACAGCAGGACGGATGTGTCCGTGCGGGAAGGAGCCAGGACTCTGCTCCAAGCTGGGACAGGTGGAAACACCAACCCTCACTTCAGTCAGTGCAACCCCCCCACTGCCCCCACAGCAACTCCAGCGGTCCCACACTCCTGCATCCAGGGAACTGAGCCAACAAGGACCATGCAAAGCCCGGGGCGGGCAGGCAGGCGTTCCATGCGCGGGGCAGGCGGGCACTCGGCATTCCCGGGAGCTGGAGGAGCCACACCGGCACATGCACCTCTCTGGGGATGGGCACAGCCCAGGCCACTCCCTCCTCCTGCACCCCCCCACAGCCTGAGCCCTGTCCTCCAAACTCATCAACTCCTACAGGGAGCTGGGAGCGGCACTCCCGGGGCCTGGATTTCACAGCTGCCCTTCCCATTAACTCCCTGGCGTCAGGATTTGGTGCCCTCCTTGTTCCCATTTGCTGCTGCCAAGAGGCTGCCAGGGAATTCTGCTGACACCCAGCACCTCCAACTAATCCTTCCTTGCCAAGAGAGGGGATTTCCAGCTGCTGGTCACTGATGGGGAGAGAGGGAGCAGAGAATTCCCATTTCCCACTTCAGTGGACTCATTTCCTCAGTTCTGCATAGCGGCTCCGAGGCTCGGAGCTGGAACCCTGGCACAGGGACGAGCCTCTGCACTGGCTCTGGAGTCCTGAGGATCCTGTCAGAAACCCCTGTCAGAAACACCCACGGGAGTGGGAACAGCCCCTGAGGTGTCCCACAGCAACACCCTGGGGAGAAGCAGCTCCCACGGCCCCACCTCACTGCCCAAGGAATGATTATCCTGCAGCAGCTCACTGCTGATGGATGAAGGAAAAGAAAACCAGAGGGATTAAAACAAGCATCTCTTTGTTGGAGCTCAACAGCTTCCTGACATATGCCTGGGGTTTTGTTGTGTTATCCCAGATAATGGTGCTCTGTAACTGCTCTCCCGAGCTTTGGGAAGCTCCAGACAGCTCATCCTTCCATCCTGGTGGTCCCTGCTTGGCTTCAGGGATTAGAATGAGATGGTAACAAACAGGCTGGGAAAGGGATCTTGCTCACTAGAGGAAGGGGGACTGAAAACCACACTCCTCAAAACGCCAAATCACAGATGTTCATCCAGTTTGGTGATCCCGACCCTCGACCAGCCCTGCACCTGCTCCTGACATGGGATTTTCAGTCCTTCTAAAACAAGTGGCAGGTTTTTGTCAACTCACTAGGACAGAATGCTAGAATTGTTTGATAACATATGGACCTCTCCCAAAAATACGGCAAAAGAGGGAAGGATCAAAAAGAAATGGATAAAAGTTGCAGGGCAGCGTCCTCCCAGTGAGCAGTGCAGCATTCCCTGTCACACACACGGGCTGCCAGTGAGTGTTAGTGTGAGACACATCCCGGTCAAGCTCCCAAAAAAGCCTCTTTGTGAGGAGAGAGGCCTGTTCACACAGATCCAAACACCCCCACCTTAGTTCTGGTGATTTGTAGGCAAGTGAGAAACAAAGAGGGGGAGCAGCCCGAGTTAGTTGGGAGAAGTCACCCAGGAAAGGCAGACGGACAAGGGGCAGAGGCTGCTGGAAATGCTCACCAGAGCTGATCAACTCGGTCAGGGTCCCTGCAGGGGGAGAGAGAGCTCAGGGAACAGGCAGAGGGAGCAAACAGTGGCAACCAAGGGAGCTGGAAGGTTTCATCCTGCTCAGGGCCTGACACTGTGGTTCAGCTCCTCTCCACTCCCAGGGCAGGGGCTGTAAATGTTTGCTGGGGAGGCACTCGTGGTGCTGGGCACTGGACATGGCAAAGCTGAACACACACAGACTCCAGGGGGATGTGCAGCCATGGGAAACCCTGAGGCCATTTTAACTCCTCCTGGTATTGGGGTGCCCTGTGCGCATCCAGGCTCTGGGAATTCTCCTGAGCCCAGGCCTAGGGAACAGCCTCAGGATAGAAATTTGCACAAGCACAGTGGACACGGGGAAAAAAAAGTCTCATTCTGATTCTATTTGTTCTTCCTTGGGTTTGATCAGCTTTACAAGACTAATTGGAGCAAAACATAAACCAGACATGAACCAAAAATGATGCTCAGAACTCTTTCCAACTTCAAAAAGCAACAGAGCAGCAGAATGTGGTAACTGCCATTTATTTAAATGCTGGTTCCTGTAATAGTTTTTGCATGTCCAGAAACCAGGAATAGGAATTTATTTGAAATAGAACTTAGAAACTGGAGATTCTCTGGCTTTGACCACGTGGCCTCTGCCTCCTGCTCTTCATTAAGGCCCTGCTGCTGCCTGAGCTGCTGCAGCCTCTGTGGCAACATGTCTGGCAAAGAATAATCCAGAAAACTTTGATCTCACATAGGTGTTCTTTTCAGGTTCTGTAGGAGCAAGTTAATGAAGAGGGGAGAATGGTTAGAGGAGAGGAGCAGGTTTACAACCAGCAGTGGGAAGAAGATGCTATTCCTGTATTTCATGTAACTCCTATACTGAATTACTGAATGCTAAGATGACAAAGCTGTATTTTTTATAAACCTAAACAGCCAGCTGCCTCCAAATCCAGTTTGAGGGAAAAAGGTGGGATCTGTTTTGGCTGGGGTGGAACAGATACCAGCTGTGCCTTTTCTGTCTCTCCTGTGCCCGGAGTGGAGCTGAGCAGGAGGAACTGTTCCGTTCCAGGCGCTCGGCTCCTCCGCAGCTCCTCCTGCCCTGCCAGCCCTCCCTGGGAGAGGGGCTGTGCCCAAAGGAAGGCCCTGGCAGGTGTGAGGGGAGCAGAGCAGGTGTCCCACCCCTGGTGCCCTGGTACCTGCAGTGGTGTTTCCTGCTGGCGAGCCAGAAGGCGCTGTCGCAGCCGTAGCAGTGAGCGGCCAGGTGGTCCGGGAGCCACCGCGTCACCTGGGGACAGCAGGCACAGACAGGGGTCAGGGAGGGGGCAGTGGAACACACCCATCCCCTTTGTGCTCCCAAAAGCAAAGCCAAGCACCCCGAGGAAGGTGTTTGTTCTGCTGTAAGAGCACAAGGTCAGGGCTGGCAACAGGAGCAGACACACAGACCTGTGAGAACAGAGGCTGGACTCCCCTCAGACAGGCAGAAATCGAGCCAGAAAGGCCAATTCCCTTCAGCTAAAGGTGGACATTCCCCAAGCACGTGTCCACCTGAGGCTCCTTTCCTACTCCCCCCTTCCCAGCTCCCAGTCTGTGAAGCAGAGGGCTCATAGGCACAGGTACTGTCAGGTGAGACGAGCGGAACACAAGGAAGAGAGTTCCCAAGAAGTGGCACATGGCCAAAGGCCGGAGGATAATTTGAATATCAATATCCCAAAAGGAGCGATTCACAGGGATTTAGTCTGTACCTCTGTGTCCTGTTTATCCACCTGCTCCCAGCTGGCTTCAGAGAAAATCTCTGTGCTGCAGCGAGACAAGCAGTTCTGATCCAGATTGCTTTCCGAGTCGGGGATAGACGTCTGTTGGCAAACAAACACAGCTGAACAGAACCTTCCCATATCCCTGCTTCCAACCAAATATCACCCGGAATGCCCCACAGGTCAGGGTCTGCCCCTCTGCTGACAGGAGGATGTGAGGCAGAGCGGATTTAAAATCCAGTTTCTGCTGCGTTAGCGCAAAGTTCTGGCAAAGCTTTGGGTGATTAACCAGAACCTGCTCTCTGTGGCTCCAACTCCAGGGTCCTCTTTCCTTTCCAAGGTTGTTTCGCTTTCAGAAGTAAGATTAGTAATGCATATATCCTTTTGTTGGCAAAGATTCTGGAGAATACAAGCCAAATTGCATTTGGGGAATAATGCTTCCTTAATATAGTCTATCCAGGTAGAGATGGATTTTAACAGATTTAAAATGCAGCCAGCCCCTAAAATGCAGTAAAATAGCAAGAAAGCTTGAGTTAATGTCTTTTTGTGCCTGAGGAATAGGCATTCCTGGAGCTCCAGAAGAAAACCTGCAACTCCCAAGCTGGGGCACAAACAGAAGGTAGAGATCAGGTTCTCAAAACCAGGAATTTTCTGGAGGCACTGCCAGCCCTGCGCTGCAGCTTCTGAAGGCCCTTAAAAATGGGAGCAGAATGAATTAAGCCAAAACACCCGATTTTTCCAGGGAATCCAAGCTTTTTGCAGTGACACTGAGCCCAACGGAGCACGTCGAGCTGCGTCTCCAACGGGAAGAGCCAAGAGGGCTCCGAGGATTTTTCCCAACAAACGTACCTGGGACTATCCAGCACCTCTGCCATTTCTAAACAACAATGAAGTCCACAACCCCCCGATAAATATTTATTTTTTTCAACTTTGCAGGCGTATAAACCACGTGGGAAAGGGAAATTTCTGATGGGTGTTGCGTCAGCCTCAGGAATTTCGGGCAAGTGCTCAAACCCACAGGAAGGTATAATAATTCTCTACAAAAGTCCCAACTTTTACAACTTTAAATGCTTCCAAGTAGAAGCACAAATAGATTAAGAGCTCCCTTAAAATATAATTTTTTAGGGAAAGAAACCCTTGTTGACATAAGGCTGCATGAAAGCTCAGGTAATTTATGCCAGTTAAGTTTAGAATTCCAGGAATTTATTCCAGTTACTGTGCCTAGAGCGTCCTGGCCATCTGAAAGGGATGGTGTGAACCTGATGGGTTTGAGCTCCCAGAGCACCACCTGAACCTGCAGAGCACCAAGGGATCATCCCATGGTACTGTCCCAAAAATGGCACAGCCACAGCCTCAGGAAAACACCTTTGCTCCACGTGAAAACAACAGTAAAAGAGGTGTGTGGGTTTTTTAGTAAGGCCAGTGAAGGTGTTTGGGTTTCTAATAAGGCCAGTGAAGGTGTCTGGGTTTTTAATAAGGCCAGTGAAAGTGTTTGGGTTTTTTAATAAGGCCAGTGAGGGTGTTTGGGTGTTTTATTAAGGCCAGTGAGGGTCTCTGGGTATGTCCAGCTACAGGAGAGCTGCTGCTGAACACCCACCTCGAAATAAACCTTGGGTCCACTCGTGGTCCAACTGAAGTTGGGTGAAAATATCGGTCATTAACTGCCATTTATCAAGTGTTTGCCCTCTTCAGAATGACCTGGAGGGTTCTATAAAAGCCTGCACAGCCCAGAAATGCCCCCTGAGCGCCCGGTGAGCTGCGGCCACGGCGCAGGTACCGCTCACTTACCACTTCGTCCCCGTAGTCCCCGTTGAGCCGCAGGGAGCTGTTGAGGAACTGGCTCTCCAGGCGGCTCTTCAGCTCCTGCACCTGCTTCTTGAGGGTCTCCACCTCCTGCTGGTGGCCCGTCTCGATCTGGCGCAGGCGCTGCTGGATGACGTCGCTGTAGACGGGCATGCCGTCGTCGTCCAGGTGGCTGCGGGCGGGCTGGTCGGGGCTGCCGCCCGCCGCCTGCCTGCCCAGCGGGCCGAACACCCACTTGTGGTGCAAGTTCCTCAGGTGCAGCTGGGCGGAGCTGCAGCTGGCGGCGGACACCTGCCTGCTGAGCGAGGCCTTGAGCCGCCCGTCCTCCCCGTTCACGCAGTGTCCGTTGCTGGCGGGGAGTTTCAGGGGCACGAGCCCCCCGGGCTTCTCAGCCAGCTTGTTCTCGGGCTCCGGCTCCCCGTTACACACCACCTCGTCTTTGCGCTCCGCGAAGGGCAAGGCACAAGGGGAAGGCATCGGGAGGTGCGTGGTGCTGCCACCAGAAGTCCTGTGCACTCTTGTTCCCAGTTTTTGGAGCTCTATCATGCACTCCCCCTCCGGCCTGTTCTCCAGAGTTCGGGACAGCTCGTCAGCGCTGTTGTCGAAGGGGTGAGCTCTGTGGCACGGGCCCTTAGGCAGGAACTCAGGCTTTGCTTCGGTCTCCGTTAAGGTTTCCGTGGAACTTTCGATGTTGGATGTCCTTGCCTCGGGCGGGGCGGGCAGAGGGAAGGGCAGGCCGGCCTGTGCAGTGCTGTATGGGCTCTCTGCCTCTTCGTGCTTCCCGACGCCTTCTTCCTCCGCGTTGTTCTGAGCAGAGCCCTCCACGGGAACAGCCTGCAGCCCCCTCCCCTGAGGCACCTTCTGGAGAGCGCTGCCGGGATCGCCGTGCTCGTCCTGCTGTCCTCTGGGCTCAGAAGCACCTTGTGAAAGCGGGTGTGGGGCGGGTGTGGGATTGTTCCTTACGGTACCTGCGTCCGCCTCGGCCTTTTCCCCGAGCTCACCGACGTACCCCCGCAGATTGTCAGCTCTCTTCTCCTTATCCAGGGCCACCTCAGCCCCTTTCCCCGCCGCCTCCAGGCCACCCCTCAAGTGCTCCTCCAGCCCAACGTCGTCTTTCGTGGCCTCCTGCAGGATGTTCTCCATCTGCCCCTCTGCCACCCCGGCTGCGACGGAGAGCTCAGCGCCCAGGGGGGCCCTGCCCTGCCGGCCCAGGCCGTCCCCCTCGAAGGGCTCGTCGCCGGGGGGGCCGAGGCTGCTGAGCTCCAGGGAGCGCCGGTGCTCCTGCCACTTCTCGTTGAGGCTGGGGTCGCTGCTGCGGCGGGCGGCCGGAGGCACGCTGCTGTCACAGGCTGTCGGCAGATTGTCGAAGGATCTCGTCTTTGGTAGCCTGCAAAGGCACAGACAATCCCAATCCGCAGTCAGGGGATGGGTTTTTTTTAAACATTTCGCTACTGTGGTTTAAAAGCTCCCCCCTCAATTAGGACAGTAACAATCTGTTCATTAATGGACTTGTGGGAAGTATTATCCAGGAGCACGTTCTGCCTATCTGTAGTGCAGAGCTGCTTCAGGACTTCCTTTGTTTGCCATCGGGAAAATATGCTCAACCAGACTTCAAACACTCCCAGAATAATCCCTTTTACCACCGAGCCCAAATGCTTCCAGCCTGGTCACACCTCCTAATTAACACGTGCTGGGAGCCATCGTACAGAAAAGCGAAGAAATAGTTACGCAACACCAAAAAAGGAAAGCAAATTCAAGATAACCGAAGGAAAGCTTATATCCCACAGGGATATAAGGAATTCTATGTGGCTGTGTGACCCCCAAAGCTTAATTCTGTTTGCCAAGCTTCTCTCTGCCACATTATCCCTGCTGAAATGGGACAGCTTCCAACCCCAAAACACTGACAGACAGCACCGATGGGGCAGATCAGTCCCACATTCCCGCAAATCCACCTAGGAGGAATCCTGCCCCCCCCCCCCGCCACAACCATTCTCTTTTTATATCCCACAATATTCTCAGTTGATCTTACTTTACAGGAGGGGTTTCTGGGCTCTAGGCTCACCTGCCCAGAGGCTGCTCTTCAGGGCTAGAGCCTGGCACAGGGTACGGGGCACAGGAGTCGTCGGCGGGTGTGGAGGGGGACGAGCAGGGCAGGTAAACAGCACTCCAGAGCATCAAGTTCCGCACATGGCACACTGGGTACAGCACCTGAGGGGGACAACACAGCAAAGGGTCATCTGCTGGCTCCCAGCAGGCACAGGAGTTCAGCCCTGAGGGTGACAGCGAGCAGTGATGGCGTTTAATCAGGTCTAGAGTGATCTTTTCTGGCAGAGGCAGAACACTGATGGCCTTCAGCTCGTCCTGAATGAAATCCTGCAGTGTGCCCTCTGTGAAAGCACACACACCACAACTTTATGAGTCCATTTAAAAACACCTGGGCTCACTCAAGCAATTCCACTCTTCTCCAAGCAGATTCCCTGTGGGAAAGCAGGCAATGCTAGAGAACAGCCTGTGCCCCCAGAGGGTGGTTGGCACTGAACAGGCTCCCCAGGGCAGTGGGCACAGCCCCAAGGCTGCCAGAGCTGCAGGAGGGTTTGGACAATGCTCAGGGACAGGGTGGGATTGTTGGGGTGTCTGTGCAGGGCCAGGAGTTGGATTCCACGATCCTCGTGGGTCCCTTCCCACTCAGGGGATGCTGTGATTCTGGGAACAGTCAGGTTTCCCTGGCACTGTGCAGGGGAAGGGCTGTGGGGTGGCTGCTGCTCTTAAACTCTGGTTTCGTAACAGATATGACTGCACCAGAGGCACCTTTTAAAGCCTGAAGTAAAACCACAGGAAGATAAACCCAAGACAGGAAAACACCAAACTCCCCCCCGCTGAAAGAGTCTCCTTGTTAGCACAGACAGTGTTGTCTTCCCTGAGAACAGGGACACGTCCCAAGGGCAGCCCAAGGACAGCTCTGTCCACTCATCCTGCTGTAGGAGCTCTCTACACCCCTCCTGGGCACACCTGCTGGCATTTTCAGGGAAGTTCAGATGCATCCATAGCTTTAAACATCCCCCCAGGCTGTGTTTGCCTGCTCTGCCTCAGCACTCCCAGGATGCCAAGGCTGGGAGGGCTCAGCAGTGCCAGCCCAGAGCTCTGCAGGGCCACAGCCAGGGCACACACGGCCAGGAGGGCCCAGGGAGTGGAAAATTCATCTTCTCAGAACCAACGTGGGCATAAAACTCTTTCCTACTTAGCCAGGGTTTAATTTTCCTCTAAGGAACGAATAAAAGCCCCATCTATCAGATGCAAACCCTCTGCACAGTCCTTACAGTTCGGTTCGTGACATCTCACACTTCCATAAATAAAAAGGGCTTAAATATTTATACAAGTCTTTGCAGTCCTACCCATGATGTCACTTGGTGACTGTGTGTTCACCTGGCCATGCTCTGCACCCCTCAGTGCCTCACATCACCTTGTATCAGGCACACAGTGAGGTAACTGGGAGCCCCTCCCCGAACATTCAGTGAGCTCTTACCATGGAGCAGCCAGACTGAAAAAGTGCAGATATTGAGACAAATATACACCAAACAATCTGAGCTACTTCTTCTGTTTAGCTTTAAGATGAATTTAGACACAGTGTCTAGGTTTGCAGGCAATTTTCTGTCACTCCTCTGACACAGCTTAGTTCTCTAGAGAGGTCTATTTATCAAACACTGAAATGTTTTCTGCTACCAAAAATACAGTAAAATATTTAGTTACAGAAAACACATTTCCAGCATGGAGAAATTTCTGACGTGGCATTTGACATTCCTCAAATATCAGCAAAATTAACACAAGACTTGAAACACCAGCCTGAGCTGAGTGTTCCAAGGTGAATGTCAGTGGGGAGAGCTGGGCTCATCCATCTGGAAACACCTCTCTGTTCACGGTGACAGCTCAGAGAACCCCAGAATGGTTTGGGTGGGAAGGGAACTCAAAGATCATCCAATTCTATCCCTTGTCAGGGGCAGAGACACCTTCCACTAGACCAGGTTGCTCCAAGCCCCCTCCTGCCTTTGAACCCTTCCAGGGATGGGGTTGCCACCACCTGTGGTTGAACCCTCGTGTCCCACTGTTGGGGGGTTTCCTCAGGGCCCCCCTCCTGGTGGGGGCTGTCCCTGCAGGGGTGGGGGGTACATACAGACTCCGACTGGGAGGAGTAGAGCAGGTTTTTGAAGGCTTTGTTTGCTGCCCGCAGCAAAGACCAGACGGAGCAGGTCCGTTCCTGAGTGTGTTTCTCTCCTCTCTCCTTCGCATTGTTGCACAGGAATGTTCCAAAGAGGCAGGAGTAGGTGTGCTGCACCAATTTCACCTGCACAGAGCAATTCACACGTGTCACAGGCGGCACAGGAGATCAGCTTCACCCTCCCCCTTGCCAGGGCTCACACGTGGCATTTTTTGCACACCTCCTCACAAAGCAATTGCAGAGGGATGCAAGCGGAGCGGAACCTTTGAAAATCATAACTAAAAAAAAAAATTCAGGAAAAAAAATATAACCTGGAAAGACAAAATATTTGTTCATAATCAAGCATAAAGGTCAGGTCGATTCAAACTCACTGCCCTGCAGGACAGGCAAAGCAGAGCACCACGATTCCTGTGCTACAAAGCATTAATGCACCCCAGAAAGGCTGATCATCAATCACTCGGTGCTGTGGGCCCAGCCTCACAAAATGGCTTAGTGTGAGCTTAACCTGGGGCATATAAATGACTTCCTTGGGATTACTCAGACGTTTCAATGAAGACAAGCAGTTCAATACCCTGAAAAATGAGGGGGTTACTCTAAAAAGGCCAGAACACCACGGGTATGTTCTCTCCCAGCCCCTGGAGATCAGCAGTGTGAGTGAAGCCAGTTACTACCTGTTGGATCTCATTTCACAACCGAGTTACGCCGGGACCGTCCACGGCCTCGGTGACGTGGCTGAGCTGGCAAGTGGTAATTCAAGTCAGCCACAATCACAGGAATGTGCCTGAAATCTCTCAGTGGATCAGGCACTTCATAAAAACTTTTACTCCTCAGATTACTGCTCCTGCAGTCCGTGACTGCCACTTCCCCAGACAGCTGGGGACTGACTCTGCCCATCCTGGGTGAATTCCTAATGGGAGAGCTGTCTGCTTCCAGAGGAGACGAACACAGCTCCTACATCCTTTCAGCACAGAAACTGAAAAATTTTGTTTTCATTTTCAGCAAAGAAACTGAAAAAAAAAAATGAATGGAGCAGGGTGTTTTTAGAGGAGGAGTTTCCAAGTCAGAACATGGTCAAAGCAGGGGGAAGTTTGTATTGCCAGAAAGGATGATTTTTTTCATGCTGTGTGGATATTTTATACCTCTTAGGTAGGAATATTTAATTAATATAATTTCTTTCTTTTAAGTCTAAAAGGACCCTTAAGGGTTCTGCTTCTGTTTAAAGACTGAATAGACCCCATGGAATACACAAATAATTTTGTGTGCTGCATCTGGGCAGCTTTGCCATTCCCTTTCTCATGCTTAGGGAATGGTTTGGGTTGGAAAGGACCTTAAAGCTCATCTCATTCCATCCTCTGCCAGGAGCAAGGACACCTTCCATTAGCCCAGGTTGCTCCAAGCCCCATCCAACCTGGCCTTGGACACCTCCAGGATGTCACAGACAGGTAGGAAAATCATCCCCCCAGGCTCTGTGGATGCCAGCACCGGTTTAGAAGAGTCTATAAAACTCTCAACTCACAAGGAATGCTTCATTAAACTCGAAAGAGCAAGGGAACTGCCTCTGGAGCTGATGGACACAGTCCAGCCACTGCAGGAACACCGGGCAGCGCTCGTTCAGGTCATCCGAGTTCTCCCCATGGCCACAGCGATCTGCAAACTTGTGGCCAAAATCCAGCCACTCCGTCTCCACCAGCACCTGGAAACCCTGCAGGAACGAAAGGACAGATGAAGAATTCCTGCCTTCCTTTGGCTCAGGTTTCTAAGATGGTCTGAGACTCGTGGGAATCACTTTATTGCTGTGCCCTCCCTCTCTTATTTCCCTTCAGCACCGGGCTCATTACTTCTCTTTGCTGCTTTAGTGCCTCTGTGCCCTGAAATGAAATTGGGACAGATATGAATTCCCAAACTACATGAAGAGGAAAGGGAATAAGGCACATTAAGTCCTCAGTGACTGGCAGGGACAAGCCTGATATGAGCCCTATCTCTGCAGGCAGGGGCGAGCAGGAACTTCATCTCGATCAAATCCATCTGGATTATGGTACCCAGCATTTGGACAGGACATCTGAAAGCCTTCCCTTGAAAATGATGGGCAGATCTGTCTGTTAGGAAAGAAAACAATCCACACAACAGGACATGCAAGCCCAGGGAGAGCAGGTGCTTGTCTGGTGTACGCCAGTCACGAGGCTGATTAGAGGTTCACTTGAGTGATTTCTCATGAAAATGAAAAGGGCAAAGACATTCCCAAACAGTGCCTGGCTGAGCAGCTGAATGTGACACCTTGTCTTACAGGACCTGAAATCCATCACAGGGTAGGAAGGTTTGGGTTCTTAGAGGAAAGAAAAATGGTAGAGAATTTTTATTGAGTCAAAGGCTGCGATCAGAGCCAAAATAATGGCTGACAGCTGGGACATGTGAAATGTGGCAATGCTGAAGGCTCATTTTCCTCAACATTTCTGATCCTGGTACAGACAGCTGCAGTTCATGGTTTCCTCTGGATGACAAGGAAGGCTCAGGGTGTGCACAGCAGAATTGTGCACAGGAGGGACAGCACTCCTTGGAGCACCAGGAGGAGGTTCTGTGCCCAGGCCAGAGCAGCATGTTTTGCCCTGGTGGGTGCCAGCTTGTGGAACCCATGTGAAAAAGGATCCAAGAAGTTTCCACACTTCCATCCAAAAGGCTTTGCTGCAGTCTCTGGTCCTTGTGTGAGTGAGGCTTTAAGCAGCAGCTCACAGCAGTGTTCAGACACAGAGTTCTGTTCTGGACAACAAAGGCATCTTGCCCGTGGGCTGGCAGATGGAACCCAGCCAGAACATGTCCCACAGTGCTGCAGAGTGATGGGGGAAAAAACTCAGGCTGAGAAAACAGGAGAAATAAAACTGACAGAGGACAGGGAAAATGTGAAAGTGGAAACCATGCACTTGGGAAATCCAGCAAAGAGCGAGGCTTTGTCTGAGCGCTTGGCTGAGAACCTGCAGTGGGGCAATGGAAACTGCAACTGCAGCTCTTTGCACTGCATATTCCTGAGGTAAATATGGGGAAGCACAGACCGTGACCGTGCAGTTACAGCAAAGGGAATGTAATGGCTGAGTTACAGACTGTGCCTACACCTGGCTGGTTAACTCCCGCCGGCTTCAGTGCCTTCGGTGGCGGAAAGAACTGCAATAATTTACAGACAGGTTAGCTCAGCCAAGGCCCTGAGCTCCCCAGCGCTCTCCCAGGGGGATCACCCACCTCTGTGGTCCTGTAGTAGGGGTCCAGCAGCAGCTTGGCCAGCGCCACGATCTGGGGGGTACGGTCCCAGCCGTCGGAGCAGTGCACCAGCACCGGCCGCTGGTCGCGGTCCACGGCGTGAACCACCAGAAGCGCCGACTTCAGGAGCACCGACAAGTGCTGCAGCCACTTGGTGCTCTCCAGAGCTGACAGCCAACTAGAGGGAAACGAGGGAAGACAGTTTTTGCTCTTTTAAAATGCTCTTCAGGTCTGGATCTCTGAATTTACCACGGCAAAGCTGCTGTTTTAATAAGCTGTGGGTGTCACACGTGAGTGGTTTTTGTTTATGTCTTGTTAACGCTTTCCCGGGGTGGAGCCACAAAGCCACGCTGGCTGCCCGAGGAACTGCCAATCTCTGGGATGAGCTGAAGATCTGGATCGACTCTGAGACCATGGAAGGCTTTAGCAGCAATTTCCAAACAGGCAAGTGGGAGGGAAAACAGGATTGGGCCACTACAGGGTAGTTACCCCATAGCACTGGAGGGCTTTGAAATATTCTCTTGAAATGACACTATAAATGAGGGAAATGTGGAACAGAGCCAGAATTTTCCAAGATGTGAATACTAAAGAGCTGGGAATAGCATGTCAACCTAAGTGTGAGTGCTTAGAAGGCCCCCCAGAAGTAGCAACATCTGGTATCAATATCCAAGGCTGCATTACCATTTCACAACTAATTCTCTAAGTTCACTTCAATCACAGTGAACCAATTACCCCCATGGAAATGAAAAAATACAGCCTAGCGTTATCCCCCACGGAATTTCAGTTTCCAAACCAGCAGCAGAAGAAGGTGGCTGCAGAAACACATCAGCCAAGGCCCAAACATCCACTTACTTTCCTGGATCTGGCATTTGTGTGCAGAGCAGACGCAGGGACTGAAAGCTCTTCCGGATGGAATGGATGTTGGCCATCCCCATGAACACCACCTCGCAGTTGGGGTAATATTCTGTAGGGACAGAGGGAAGGAACTAAACAACTGCATTTCTAAAAGAAGCTTTTTATTCATCAAAACAAACCCCTGTTGCTGTGGACAGATGAAATAATCTGTTTACGACTATTCTGTAAGGACACACCAGCCCTTGGAGCTCGGTGGGTATTCCAGACGTGACACCACAGCCCAGCAAAACAGGAAGCATTTACCAAAGTCCCGCTGTATTCACTTGCAATGTTTCGCTCCAGGTCACCCAAAACAGAGTGCAAACCTATGGGAACAGGGATATTCCTGTGCTCCAGCTCCCAGAGCGTTTGTAAAGACTGAGAAACATCATAAGATGGGAAGAACAAATAATATTTAACTGGTAATTTAAGTTATAGATTGCTTTCTCTAAGCACTCAGAAAGGCTGAAAGGTTACACCATGCACTGCTTTCTTCTGATGGGAATTTTATGGGGAAGTTTATCACATGTGTGAGAAATACTGGAAGTTCAGGAAAACAGAAGATACATGGAATTACTCTGGATGTGCAGACAGGGTCCCAGCTCAGGGAGGCACCCAAGGAGAGCCAGAAAAATACCAGTTCAAGAGTTTTTCCCAGATTTAGTTTTGATGCTTCTGTCTGCACAAAAATGGTGACACAACAGCTAAAATGACTGTTTCTAGAGGAGAAAAATAATCAGGATGCAGAATCTGGGGTATTGAGTGCTTGCTCAAGGAAATGCAGGAGTCTGAGCATGTTTTGTGTCATTTGATTTCCCAATTCTTTATCAGCCCAACAGCTGCTGACCCAAAGAGAACATCCTGTTAGCAATGGACTGTGTAACTCCAGCCACAGATTGCACCAGACAATTTCAGCATTTTCTGGTCTTTTCACTGAGTTATATCTAAAACAAAGCACAGCATAAATGAGCTATTTTTATACAGAAAATGAAGCAAACTTGGCAATACCTGCAGAAAACTTCACAGTAGAAAGCAACACAAGTATTTATTGAAGGTGACAAGCTGTTTGAAAATCTTCTACACAGAATGCAAGAACCAGTATACAAGAAAATCAAACTTCCCGTATACTCTGCTCTTCTGGTTTGAAATTTTACTCTCTTATAATGAATCTTTTAGTATTTCTGAGGTTTTAAATGGAAACTTCATCTTTCCTCACTGGTGGCTGCCTTTATAAAGTGCAGCTATAGCAGCAAAGACCAAAACAAGAATACGTGGTCAAAAGAGATTTTGTTATCTTATCTCTAGTTTTAATGTCTGGGATTTTTTTCCAGACTCTCCACCCATGGAATTTTAACAGGCTGCATTCATACCCAGTAGTGACCATAAATAACATCTTGTTTATAAAGGCACCAATGCCAAAGAACACAAAGTGGTGTTGCAAATGCATTCATTACACATGCAAGGTGAAGCAGGAGTGCAGTTGGTTATGATATAAATGCTGAAAAATGTTCCAGCTTTAGAAAAATTGCTGAAAAGCTGTATTTTGCACAACCATTCTAGAGTATTATTATGCTGTGCAGTCAAGTGGGTTTCACAAGTTCAGGGCTTTTGGCCGTGAGCACACTGGACACCTTTGTCTCTCTCTAGTTTATATATTTGACTCAGCAAGGGGAAGCTCATCAGCATGTTCCACACAGTTCAGCATTTACTGAGCTCTGTCACCAGCTGGGTTTGTGCTCTGGGAACAGCCTTAATTAACAGCCAAACCTGCCCTTTGGAAGGGCTGGGTGGTAACTGCTGCGCTCCAGAACTTTCGGAGAGATGAAGAGCCCTCCATCCCCACGGTCAGGTAAACAGGCAGGACTGAAGGGGATCAGTGCAATCCCACCTGAGCTAATCCCTTTGATTCCTGAATGGAAACCAGGCAGTGCTGCTCACCTGGGCACTCGCAGCCTCCCCCCTTGGCTCTGTTGGCCACGGCTGCCGCGTACGACCGCGCGTCCAGGATCAAAAGCTTCTGGGGCTGAATCGCCAAGCTCTCTGCTCCCGAGGCATTGGAGATGGAGGAGTCTGGCAGGGAGGAGATGCACCTGGTGAGGAACTCAGAGGATACTCCTGACCTCGGTCACACCATGATTCACTCAGTGCCACAGTGCACATGCACACAGTAACTGCAGAGTGCCTGACTGAACACAATGGATTCAACCTGTTCCAGCTTTTACAGAAAGCTCTGCCCCTCACAGAAAAGCAACAGGGACAGACTTACCAAACTCCACATCAGAGAGGTCCCCTCCGTTGGAGAAATCTCTGGAACAATTCCCATTCATTAATTTGTTGCTGTTGGACCTCGAGTCCGAGGCACAGGCTTTGGCCACGGACTGGACGAGGTGCTCGTCGTCGGCGTTCCTCCAGCCCCACCAGCTCACCTCGGGCTGGCCACAGCGGGAGATCACTGC